AATCGCGTGGTTGGAATAAAATCACTCGTAAGATGAGCTACGGGACTTTCGCATTGGAGATGCACCAATTCGAAGCGACTACGCCAAACTTACGCCATGTACCTGAAGACTTGAATGCTCCTCAAGCTGCAACCGTGAGAATGAAGAAATCTGTCCCCCATATATGACGTGTTTCCCCCTACATCACCCAACCTACCACATAGAGGATTCCTTATCATGAAATATAATACGTACCGAGAGACTGAGACTCCGTTTGTTTCTTTACTAATGGTGTCGATTTTATCGACAATTTTGTAAGGAGGCCAATCAAAATGGAACGGAGAGTCCCTGCGGAGCCCCTCCTAGCTGTACTGTCTTCTATATAGGCTTGAAAACCAACTGGTTGGCGTTGGAAATTTCTGGGAATCATTGCGTAATCTGATTTCCGTTCAGAATCTAGTGGCCATGGCCCATGGTTTCCGAGAAGCACCGTTTTGAAACAAACAAAAAAAAGTGGATGTGAGTTAGAATAGGCTTACGTATACACTGCAGTGAACACTGCAACAAGTGGCTTCACGTGCATGCCGCATACGAGGATGCTCTCTTTCATCAGCTGAAATGAATCTTTACTTTTGTATTAGCGACAAGCTACAGCAATTCTGCAACCTTGGATATTAGCGCATACCTGCCTGCTCACTTTCTGTATCTTCAAAGGTGAGTGTTGAACGGCAGGGCAGAGGGGTGAGAAAGGCTGCAAAATCTTGTGCTATTCAAGCTACGATTTTCCTCACACTCGTCCCCAAAGTGTCAACAGAGGGGAACGCAATCAGCTCGCCGATGGAAAGGAGCAGGCGGTGAAAGTGAAAGTATGAAAAATACAATAGTAGCAGCTCAGATAGAAGTCTCAGGCGGCAGGTCAAAAAGCATTGTCCATCAGCTTTCATACTCTTCGTATTTCTGCGACGATGACACCTTCGTGCGAATCAGTCTAGCTGATGTAATGCAGATGTACATGAGTAAGATAAAAGACGTGCGTTGAACGCCATTTTCATAGTTTGGCTTCATTTCAAAGTGAATCGTCTCCAAAAACTTGCTTGCATGGCAATTGTTGTGAAATATCGAAGCGAGCAGTCTATCGAATATCACGAATGGGCAGCCGAACTTCTAAGGGCCTTCTGACGTTGATCCAGTCGTATCTGGTTGAAAGAGCAGACTGTTGCTAACTTTTCAAATGCTCTTCGTCCAAGCCAAATTCATGGTGCATCCTAGGCCATGTCTAGAACAGACACGTAACAGAATCCATTCTTCACTTTAAATCTATGCAAGAGAAAAATACGTTCCATGGTGTTACGTCTTCTAGACGAATTTCTCCGCAAAAGCATGAAAATGAATTTTTAAAGGACTTTTTTCTGATACAATGTTTTACTAGAACGAAAAGACCAGTTGACAGTCTCGGTTAAGGGCATATCTATAGTAACGATTTACCATTCAAAGATTTTTTGAGTGAGATAGGAAGTTAAAGAGATTGCCCGACTATCTTTCCTTAAATTGTTCTCTTCATGTTATTCCTTTTGCCAGTTTCGTGGAGGGCTCTTGATCTTGTCTATTCTCTCGTGCTTCATTTCTTCATTACCGTACTTCCATTGAGTGCTCCAAATCCAAAACTAGCCATAATAGGCAAAAAACTCAACCTTCCTAATTTTGACGACAAAGTTTGCTGCCGAGTTTTGTTGGTTCTTTTGTCCTTTTATGTACTTGTGCCCTATGTGGTATGTATTCGCTACATCTACCTCGAAGTCATTATTCCGGTGACAGCATCTGCTTGTTCGGTGAAGATTGTGGTTGGGTCGTCTCCGGCCGAACTCTCTCAGCCTTTGAGTTGTTATCATTGCAGTAGTGATCTATAGTTATCGTGGTAGGAAACCTCTACTTACTGTAAAACCAGATATTATTTTAAAAGACGTGCTAGAGCCTGGCAAGTTACACGTGGATTCCATGCCAAAAACAGTAACAGAAATGGGCCTCATCCCCCTGAACCTGAGGGAGCCCCCAATACGGCGGCGTTGGGTAGGACCGCTCGGGAGAGGCTGCTAAAATCTCAGGGCCAAAACAGGCTGCCCAAAAGGAGAAGGACTAAGATGGCGATCTGTACTTTCAACGCAAGGACGCTTGCATCGGAAGCGTGTATAGAAGACCTGATGATGCAAGCTAGGAAAATCAAGTACGACGTCATCGGACTGACCGAGACGAGAAGGCACCGCCCGCTGCACGCGGTATTTGAAACTGGAGAAGAACTGTTCCTTGGAACATGCGACAGCAGAGGCGTCGGCGGTGTAGGTGTCCTCGTCAACACGCACTTGGCCATGAACATCGATTCGTACGAAAGCTTAACAACCCGAATCGGACGTTTGCGTTTAAGAAGATGTGGCTCAATCCCAGCTCTAACCATCTTCGTTGCTTACGCACCAACATCGAGCTACGAAGAAGAGGAGTTGGAAGCGTTCTATATGGATCTGGAGAGGCTCTACAGAGAAGACCACACTTTCTTCAAGGTCATCGTCGGTGATTTTAACGCCAAGATTGGCCCCAGAAGAACGGCTGAAGAGCTTCATATCGGGACTCATGGATTGGAATGGAATGAGCAGGGTGAAAGACTGTCCGAGTTTATCATGACGACCCACACCATCCATGGTAACTCGCAGTTCCAGAAGCCCTCTCATTTAAGATGGACATGGGAGTCACCTGGTGGACAGTTCCATAATGAAATAGACCACATCATCGTCAATCGGAAGTTTTGCCTGACTGACGTCGCTGTTGTTCCGAAGTTCTACACGGGATCAGACCATCGTCTCCTCCNACTGACTGCTCTCATTTCTTCTTCCTCTCGTATCGTAACAAAGAAAAATGACAAAAATGAAAAATGAAATGAAAAATGAGAAACAGATGGGAAAACCATGACCTTCGTTAAGATCCCAGAACTTTCTAGTTTTGAGGTTTCTTTTTTAAACTTTGCAACCGAGATTTTAACATTACTTTATTAGGCTGACGTTTCGGTGTTTTCGCCTTCCCTGGAAAGAGTCTGGAAAGACGAAAGTCATTTGAGAAACTATTCGGTCAAGCAACATTTCAATCTTCAGAGAAAGCTCAAAGGGCGTGGGCTACGAAGTCAGAAGATGTTAACTAATCTCTGGGATAGTCGACCTGTGGGGTCTACCGATCATCCCAAACTGGTATGACTATGGTTCAAATAATAGGGTGGAACTGAGGTCAACTTGCTTTCGTTCTTTCTTTTATGGGATGGCTTAAGCAATCTGCTCATAGGAATAACGATCATCAGGATGTTGTGATAATGAGAAATATTGTTGTGCCAACCCAAGTGTTTGCCAAATGAAGTGTTGCTTGATAGGAAAGAGCCTTCTCATTGGGAACTCCGAAGGGCAGTCTTGGTAGACATCAGGATTCTAGGGGCTCAGCTAAAATGCTTGCCTTTTCTCTTCCTTACTCGTAGAACGGTTACAACGAGCTAGTGTCAAATCGTAGGTAACAATTAGCTGACACTCGTTATCGGCTGCAAAGTAAATTAACAGGCTGTCTCGTCATTTGTAGTGCTTAGTGCATGCGCTCTCTAAACGCCAAACGAAGCGTTAAGACTAGTCAAGCTAGGTGAAGATCTTCGATGTCATTTAGATCCTGTCCTTTGAACGACGTATTAAGTTGCCAGAAATGTCTCTTGTTGCATGATTTCTCCATTCCTTCAAAAATCAGAAACAAAATGTGGATCACTGTGCAAACCTTCTCGAACAGAAACATCCGAGAAAGGATCGTGTAATCGATCAATTTCCCAAGCCATCGGAACAGTTAACCATGAGGTTAACTGGAATTTGTTGGCGTGGGAGCGCTAGAAAGCCGATCTGTGCTCGCGATATTATCAACAGCGCTCACAGGCGCTGCGCAAACGAAGACATTTCGTCCGCAGAGGAAGTGCACTGTCAAATCACGTACACGACCGATTCGTTCCCGCACAGGAGGCTTGTTTTCAAAATTATCTCAATTCGAACAAGGAGACGGCTTTCGACTGGAAAGTCTTCCATCTTTCATCAAACTCTAGCTCTGAATTTTACGGAGAAATTGTTTTCCGTATAAATAGGAGTACCGATTCGAAAACGATGTCAGTTTATCCTGGGTATATTGGAAAAGACGAAATTGTGCTCGATCTTTGCGATTTTGGTCTTTTAGTCTACCGCCCAACAAATGCACACACATACATATAGTGGGCCATACTAGAAGAACTCGATCTCTTTTCACATTTTTTGGTATAATACACTCAACTCTTTGAATCCAAGATCACTCAATACAGATGTGGACAAATAATCTAAAATCACTATCCGCGAGAACTCAATTTTTTTTTGGAGAACGAAAGCGTTAATGCCAAATAGCTCATGTGGCCAAGAAAACGAGAAAACCTACACTTTGTTGAGATGCGACACCTTTCTTAGCTGTTACTTTCTGAGGTTGGATGACGTTACGAAGACGCAAGGTGTATTCGACCGGAATACTGCCAGTGCACAGTGTGCTAACCATTAGTGTGTATCAAATGACTGGATTTGAACCGAACGTGCTCCATTCTGAACAAATCAACCTAGATGAGGAGGAGATAGTATTGACAGGTCGGGACCCTAACACACCCCTATGATCCGGGACACAACGAAATCGGTGCCTGCCTGGGCCAACCGAGCCTTTTATCGTTTCAGGATCGCTAAATTGGTATCAGACTTTTCTGAGAGGATAAAAACTTTGACTTGTACATCGGCTAAGCGCTGCAATCCACTGGCTCGGCCAAACACTCTTTTGAACGCCACTACGATTCTGAATCGAGTCAAATGAAGGGGCGAAACCCAAAACGGAAGTGTTTACCACCAGAACTTTATTTTTATCCTTTATCAGTTTATACAAGACCATCCCTCCTTGAAAATGTTGAGCACAGTGCAGGAAGTTATCAGAAGCCTCATATATGCTGCCAATCAAAGCAACATGTTACCCTGTCTGAAGTTGAAGAAGAAAAGGAAAGATTTGCAGAATGCAGGATCATGAATTTTCATGAAGAACTTTCAGCTTTCACACAATTAAATTACATTAATCTGAGACCGTTTATTTCAAGTTGTTTAGAAAGGATTTCTTCTTATATTTTTAGGCATACATTTCAGCTAACGTTCAGGCAACTAATCTATAAATGCTCTTCACAAGACAGAAGGTGGGTATCATGAAACGGTTCCAGGAGCAACTACATCACAAGAACTGTTAGGCTAAGGAGGAGGTTAACGAGAAAACGGAATATAGTTTATACATTCAATCATTATCATTCAATCATAAATGTCAGCGATACAATAGAGATAGCAGCACTACTCGTTGAGAGGGACCCGATTAGCGAAAGATTCAAAACATCGTTATGAATCAGAAATTCAAACAGAAAGCTCGAAGGCCAATGAATAAATTCTGATAGCTCGACACGGGAGGGGCTAAAATCTAAAATTCTTAGGCGGTATTGGTGGAGGCTTGTCGTGTTGCTGTTGAGCTGCACTAGGAGGTCTCGTAGGTACGAGAGGAGGCGCATCCAGAATAGACGACATCGTAGATGCGTCGAAGGCATCTGCAAACTTCATCTCAAGCCAAGGATTGGACCCTTGTAGATGGCTCATAGGTCGGAACTCGGCCGGAAAGTTGTACGACTGCTGAACCGTTGGGGGTGGAAGCATTGGTGGCCGTGGAGGAGGCGTTTCCGGCAGCAGATGACGCTTGGGTAATGTAGAGAATTCGCTTACAGACGGAGGGGCGCTTGTTGATATAGCTATAGATCCGGGCTCGTCGTCCAGTTTACGGGATCCGATTGTGCAGAAACCTTGAAAAGTAACAATTTCCGATAGAATCACTCGAAGGGCTAGTAACTTGTTACCTCGAACGAACAGCGAAAGCATCAACGGAAGAAAGATGAGACCATGGATCAAACCGATCGAGATTGCCAGGAACACCTGTAATAAGAAATTAGGCTTGAAGGTGAGGGTTCACTTTTCCGCAGGTGTGAGCTATGGTTGCTTTCAACTGAGCCCACTAGTCTTGTGGCCTCTCGGTAGTCACTGAGCTATTCCCGAAAAATTTTTACTGTAAAAATGAACGAACTGTTTTGAAGAAGGTAACGATCATGTAGGCGGGTACGTCAGCCAGAACCACAACGGCCAGTATTGTCGAAGTAGCTCCTTTAAGTAGCCGTCAGTATACAAGGGAACTTCGCTGGATTTCTTCAATTCAAAGATGGACTCACCCTGAACCACTGGCCAGCCGAGGTCACCAAGGGCATCGCGAACTCTGTCTCGTGGATCGAGTTCTTTTGAAATCACATAACCGTAGGTGATGTGAGCCGAGTAGTCCACTGAGAATCCGACGGACATGATGATGGTTATCATTGAAATGGCGTCCTAAAACAGCTTCAATTTGCTGTGGAGTGGCATTCTACGAAAATGACAAGAATCGCTGTTGTAAAACGATCCTGTCCTTTTCTAGCCATATAAAGGCCGAGTAAGATTTCTAAAAGATTTGTTTTCGATTTAATCGGAAACGTACCAGATTTACACCCCATAGAGTCATGTACCCAAGAACTCCAAGATCGATCGACCCGATGGTGAAAGCGACCCACAGAGCGCAGAACGGTTGAGGAATCAGCAGGAACGCAATAAACAGCATGCAAAGCACAGCAATCACGATGTCTTGGACCTGGAAATCAGATCTTTCCCTGAAAGCGTCAAAATTCATAATATTTCAAATGTAACTTACCGTATTTGGCACAACCAAATCATACTGATCAGTGAAGAGCCAAAGCGGCATGAAGGTTGTCACATTGTACTTGGGAAAAGCCATTGCTACCTAAACATGAACATGTATAAATGTCAAAGATGAGATCTTCCATTCTTTGCCTCCAAATGACGTCATGATTTGCCTTTTTTGGTACCAATCTACAGAAACTCTTTAATTGTGCCTTCAGAAAGTTGGACAACTGGCCACTGAGGGGATGAGGAAATAAATAAGTTATATCGCTTATATACCCTATCCAGGTTTTACCAGAAACCAATAGGTAGCTTCTGAGGCGAATTGTCATTTAATTGTACTTCACAATGCACGTTGTTTTTGCGGTGTGTCTTTCAGTTTTTGAAGTGTACCTTGCACTTCTAAGTGCATTTCAAAATGCTGTTTTTAAGCAACACTTATTGAGGAATTATGGAGTCTTATCTTATCTAGGAGCGGATAATAAGCAATCCATGTTATCGTTCGCTAAACTTTTTCAATTCCTTTTGGAATTTTTGAAATCTGAACCAAAACGAAAGAAACGATAGTGTTGAGACCTTGGACCTCACTTAAGTGGTGTAGGCTTTTGATGATGTCGCCTTAATTTTTATGTGTTTCAGCTGTTTCAGGAACATGTAAAATGTTGAAACCTTCCGTCAAAGAATAAGGCCCTCTTTAGTCTACTTGCCTGGAGCCTTGGACGAGTTTGTTCCTCAGGGGCTACGTGGGGTTACGTGGTCAGCATGACACCGTAGCACTCGGTCCAAGACGCATAGAAAGGCAAAAGAACTACGGTTGTTAGGGGGCCCCAGTACTGCTACCTTTTTATGCGACTTGGACCATGTGCTAGGATCTCATGGAAGGCCTTTCTCTACATGGGAAAGCAGTGTAGGGATGATATCGAGTCTAGTTGGAACCTGCCCTTGAGATCACAAATCAGCTCACCTCACGAAAACTTTTCGTAGCCTTCTGCTGTTGAGTCGTACTTGATATATCCCGCATTCCAATCAAGAATCTAAACAGCACATCAGACAAATTCATTGTTGAAAACCAATTTACCAATCGCCTTTACCACTAGATAGAATAAAAGAAAAAGAAAAGGAGAAACTCTGAGAAATTCGTTCATGAGTGACACGTATTTGGGTTGTAAAAACAACTGAACCCAAAGATGTTCCTTTTTGAGCAAACATCAGATCGAACAATTTCCTAATTTAAGCTGTTTAAAATTCAACGGGATCATGTTTTTCGGAAGCCGAGGTTCCGCCATTTCAGTGGGCGAAATCTACCGTCACAACGAGGGAAAGTAGCGAGTGTAAGCGAGTTCAATTGTATTAGGAATAAGTGTTTTAGAAATTATTGCATGATTAACTCAGCCGGCACACGTTTCCTACCGCTTGGGACATGGAGGAATGAAGTATCTCCTCTCTGAGCTTTATGGCTATCCCAAAAATGGGGGCTATATCTGTCCCTCGATTTGGCACTTTGTTACAGAAAACTAAAGGGGAGATGCCGATTTCTTTGACAACCATGAGTAAGGTTGTGAAAAATCATCACATTGGAAGACATACAAACGAGAATAGGATCCCAAAAGTCAAAACTTTTCGGGTATGCTAGGAGCAGAAACTCCCAGATCCAATTGTGGTAGACGGGTGACCGCCCCTTCCAACGGACTTCACACCGCTCCTTCCCTTGTATAGAGTAACTTCGGGTTCAAGGCATGCGTCAAGCTTCGTCGCATTACGATTATTCGAAGATAGGCCAGCAAAAGTTCAGGACACTGGACACTAACTTCCCGTGTACATCTCCTCTGCAGGGATGCTCTTCTCAAAAATCTTTGAGCCTGTGTCAAACTGGATAGAGACCGTTCCGGAGCAAAGTAGCATCTGCTGTTTAGTCATTTCTCTGGAGTGAGACAAGACAGAATTTCCTTCCTTTCAAGCTAAGACCGAACTTTTTTGAGGAGTTTACTTTGTTTCCATATTCTTGCATCGCCCCGTATTCTCAATTTCCCTTCTAATTGAGTTTTTTAAAAGCTAATAACTTGCCTGAATGCAGATATATACGGTCGTTCGTTTTCATCGAGGTTCCATTTGACGTCTTCCATCCACGGATCTGAGTCATGCGTGTAGAGGAAGTGCGATGCCATCTCGTAAAAGGCCTGAAACTTCGTGAACATGCAAGCTTGTAGTTACTCGAATTTCGAAGTTTTTGAAAACCCTGCTGGTTGGCCAGGACCGCACCTTATTAGAAACAGGGTCCCATTGTAGGTGTGGGAAAGTACGCTATCACACCTAAGATGAGGCAGAAGTGAGGTTACTTTTTGTTAGTTCACGATTGGCGAGGAATTCAATGCTGGCATTCGAACACAAGTCGGAGCTGTTCCTTATCCGTACTGTTCTCCTTGTAATTACGTAGAAATCTGAGGAAGGGCAGGCCGGTAGCCAAATCACCAAATTCGTCATACAAAGCGGGACACAGACTTACGAAACATAAAGGAGGGAAAAGCTGAAACTTCTCACCTCATCTTTGATAGTGGTGTTGAGCTCTGTGCGATAGTAACGTTCCATCTCATACATCCAGAACTGAACACTCTGATCACCTATGGCGTGAGGAGCGTTGGCGAAAGCTGAGACCATCGAATAGATTCTAGCCCTTTCTTCACGATTGCGGAGGTCTGGAGCTCGACTAACCACAATCTGGAAGTTACACTCTGAGAGCCACCGAATCGGATCTCGCTGATAATCAAATGTATCAGAAGAAATGTCGTATCGGGTCTAATGTTTACGGTAAAAGTCTCTGCGGCAGCCTCCTACTACAGAAGGAGGCCTAAAGGGAAGTCCAGCTCACACTCACCTGAAGAGTAGCACCGTAGTGCCAGAAATGTCGTTCGAGCGAAAGATAATGCGGCTTCGCATATGAGTCGTCCACCTGAAATGAGGGATTGCTAACTACCTCGACTGGTAACTTTTACCTCATTAATAAAAAAATGAGAAGGGTATGACCTCTACCCCCTTCAGCTCTTGTGCTGATGATATTACCTTCTGTAACCATTACAGAAGATCACGTTCTAGAGCTAACAGAAACGCATATAGTCAAGAACTCTATATAGTTTGAATCATGGTCTTTCTCGTTTCAGACTCTCCCAAATGTTTGAAGGAGCATACCAAAAGATTGACGGGTTCGAGCCCTTCTCGTAGGTGAATGCAGCCGTAAACTGCGAATCCGATGTAGATGCAGTACCACAAACCAGCCAGTGCTTTGATTGCTGGCTGCATGAGAATCGGAGCGTACCTGGAAACCTCCCAAATTCTCGACCTATCATTATTTCATTGTTGATCATAGGCTATTTGAGGATACAAGACCCTACCAATCCTGAAAGAACTTTGTGGCAGCACATAGTTTACGATTTGAAGCATGCGTCGGGTCAGGATGCGAACGCGATCCAAGCCAAAGGAGTCGAGTTGATGTGGACGAGGCTAGCTGAAAATGCCCATAGAACTCATTTTTTGGTTAAAATGGTTCTGGGATAGAGCGTAAACTGGCTTGAATGACTCGTACCTTTGGAGGTATAGTAGTTTTTAGCCAGAGGCAATGCCGGCCTTCTCCTTCCCATTTTGTGGCCAGCGACAAAAGAGCACAGAAGAATGTAATCTATAACAAGTATTTCATACATTATCTTCGAACTCTGCGTGCTTGATAGTTTTTAGTACCTGGTATAGGAAGGTGAGCACAAGAGCACAGCATGTGTAGATGCAAAATATCTGGACAGCCGGAATGGTGGTGATTGTGCCGACGCCAAATGAGAAGGCATCTGTAACTTTCGTTGAAACAATCAGGCAAGTGAAGTCTTTAGGTAAAAAGGCCACGATGACTAACCCTTTCAGGACTGCATTTAAGTGCTTTCTCTCTGATGGTGAGATATGGGCATACTGTGCATTGACCCTCCGCGCGGTCGACAGGTGGCTTACGTAGGCTATACTACTACTTGCACCAATTTACAAGCTAGCGCTTTCATCCTCCCAGATGAGGTTGGTAACAAATAAACCGCTCCGAAGGAATTGCGAGACTTGGTTGGCATAGCTAGGATCGGTCCAATTCGAGTGATCGTACACCACATGCCACTACCCACCCTGGGATTGGAAGGCACATTAGGGGTGGGAATAAAATTTAGAGCGGGACACCTTTAATAAGACTCAGGTGGTACTTAGGCATCGTATGGCACACCACAAAGTTCACACACAAGGTGTTGAGAAGAGTTCACACCAGATTTTTTTCTCAAATGAACTTTGCTATAAGGAGTTATCTCTATGGTATGAATTTCGAGTGTATCTTTCCTCCGAAATATCAACTTGAGACTCAAAACGAACTCATTCTGAAGGTATGTAGAGCTCCATTGGAAAAGAAGAAAAAAAGGAATACAAGGCTTATGAACTGTTTCTTGTTCTTTCCAAGTGGTGCTTTAAGTGCTCTCTGATGGTGAGATACCTTCCGCGCCGTCGACAGGTGGCTTACGTAGGCTATAGTACTACTTGCGCCAGTGTACAAGCTATGAACGGTTTCTTGTTTTTCCAACATGACTACATACTGAAGGAAAGTGCGTCGTAACAAGTATGGCCTCTACCCAGTCGGAAAAAAACTTTCTTTCTCTCTTCCAGTAGGTCCACGCTGAACGAAGAGCGAGATTCATTACTCTTATTTCGAATACGAGCAACGAATTTCCCTGAGTAGGTTCTTCCTTAGTAGTTAAGCTAGACGAGGTATAAACCAAGCGCTTGAAAATTAAAGCTAGAAAAACAAAGAAAACGTACCAGTAAGTGCAGTGATGAGGATTGACACTGCGGCATCGGCCATGCATTCGCCTATGCGCTGCTCGACAGGTAACACACGCGAAGTCCTCTTCACCGCTGCGACCATCAGGAACATGTTGTCCGTGCCGACAGCTAAAAGTAATCTTCTGCTAAGGACGCCATGCTAGATCAACTGCCAAAAAATGGTCTGCGTTCAGCTTTTGCAAAAAAACCCACCAACAACAAGGAAAGGCATCACAGCTACTATGTCATTGTACTGCAATCCGAGAAGTACCAATCCACCCATGGCACTAGCGATTCCCATTCCTGCGTTCACCACACCCAGTATTGATAGGATTGGTTTTGACAAAACCCAATCAACGTAGAAGGTTCCTGGAAAAGTATTTGCTACGAAAAATCTTTGAAAAGCGCTGTCAGTTCAATGCATTGCTTATATGTTCTAATCTGCATGTTGTAAGTTGGCTTTGTTAGAAATTCTTCTGTCGTTCGAGGTTTGTGGTTGGAACACACTTCGTTAATTTAACAGCCTACCGTTTCGACGTAAGCCCGTCAAATCCGCTCTGACGAGTGAATTTCTTTGTAATTTGAATTCTGGGTTTTTTTTTGGCATTCGCATAGTAAAAAGGAGAAAAGTAAAAGTCCTTGAATTGCGGTGGCCGAAATTTTGGGACTAGTTAATTCTAGTCGAAGAGTTCGGTTGGACAGGCGATTTCGGCATCATTCTTGAGTCTTTTATAGATGGTAAACATCAGATCATGAGATTCAGAGTACTTTTATTGGTTTATATTTCGAGCTTTCAGGTTTCGGTAGTATAAGTCGCTGGCAAAGTGCCAGCAGAAGATAAGGTCTATGAATGGCTCGAAAAGTGAATGACTCGAACATACCTTTGATTGTGACAAGAGAGCAGATCACAGCAAAAACGACAAGGATCACAAAAGCAGTGATGAACCTGAAATTAGGAAATCAAATAATATTTGTTCTAGACCTGCTACCTAAAAAATTAGAAAGCAGCTTGGGATTCCTTCGCTACTATTTGGTCGAAATTTGACTGTCAAATATAGGAAACACCTAACTTCCAAAATTCAGCTCTGATAACCCCTTTAGGGATATGCTTTCTCTCGGTCACAAGCTGCTAATTGATTGATTGGCTGCTCTTGTGTGTGCATTGGAATCTTAGACTAAATCCAGTGAGCGCTTTCACTTAGGGGGTCTAATGAAGGTCTTCCCCCGTTCGGATGGTGGCTTGTTTTTGCAAACTGAACTTCTGCGACCGGTCTAACCAGCGTACTTAGGGTTACTACTACTTGAACTAGGATACCTAGGGTGACTACTTGAACTTTCTCTGCGTCCCAGACAGCAAGAGGCTGAAGCACAGAGAAAAGCATCCCGGGTGAAGCCTACGGGATTGGTGGTGGGGGTCCCATTGAACAGACAAGCACAACACACGAAGACTACATAAAACGGGAGGGCGACAGAAGAGGGCAGAAAAATGATGCATTCGGCAAATTCGAAGGAACCGAGTTCAAAAAGTCCGTAGACGGCGTACCTAGGCGTCCCGAACTATCACACACATGGGAAGGAGATTGAATCTCGGTCTGGTGCTCGCTTGGGCCAAAAAAGCCTTCTTTCTATTCAAGGTCGGTTAACTGGCACCAGACTCGTCTGGACGGATAAAAACGCTGTTCCAAAAGCACGTTCATCGCCTAGGTACCGCAAGTCATCATTGCACAAGTCACATACCTACTCAAAATGTCACTATGACTGACTTTGGCTGAGAGTTGAATGCAATGGCGCAAACCAAAAAACGAGATCGACTAATGCCAAAGGACTATATTATACTTCACTCCTTCTTCCAAAAAGGCACTACTTCTATTTTTGGTCACAATCGTTGGGCTTCTCCATTACACTTTTATAAAGTAATGGGTTACAAGCTGCACAACACCTTTCAAAAAGATCCTGTGCATGTGTTCAAAAGCTTCTGCTTCGCGTCAAAATAGTAGGATAATTATACGGATAAAGTTTTTGCGTCAATCAATCCCTTATGAGGGATGCGCCCCCGCACTCGACTTCCATTCAGAATCGTAGTGGTGTAATGAGTNCGAGAGAGACGCCGCGCGCGAAGGAGTGTAGCAGAATGCAGCAGCAAACAAGAAGTACAGGAATAAAAGAAGTAACAGTAGGCTTATGCCAAATAGCGAGTGAGCTGCATGAAGAACACTAGAACGGTTACAACTGAGGCAAATGGTCCGCGACAGCCGCGTGTGCGACGAATCGATTACACAAAACCGTTTTTACTGCCCATCTCCTCATTTGAACCCCAGACCGTGCATGTGAAAAGGGCGCTACTCGTCTCTACACCATCTCCGCCCCCAAAATATTAGATCTCCAAAAAATGTATAGAAACACAAGAGTAGTGAACCTATACTATAAGAAACAAGTAACAAGGCGGTTTCAAAGTGTTGGTTGGAGTTTCCTTCGCCGACTACGCTATATCCAATTAGCCTCTGTGGTCCTTACCCCTTATCTCCCTCTATTGTACAATCTCACAAATCTCACATTCAAAAAGATGCTTGTTGGGGCAATATGAGAACTGATCGAAACCGAGTTTTTCACACTTTTCTTTGAGCAACAGAGAGTTCCCCAACTAGCTTAAATGATGAACGAAAATCTCACTTTTCTAACGAAAAACGAGAAGGTTTCTTCCTACCTGGGAACCAAACTGTCCGCATTTCGCTTCAGCTCCTCGGCCAAAGTCTGCGAGTGGAAATACGTTATAGAAATGTACGGATCTTCTGGATAATGGTCCATGTGCATTTTGAAGGACTGAAAATTACTTTTGCTGTATACGCAGATTGACTACAGTATAAACCAGATAGCCGTAATTATGTAATATAGCTATTCTGAGTTTTCGCAGAATGCAGATTGTTCAAACTTTTTGTTATATGGATTCAAAGTGCCAATTGAACTTTCGATCTCTAGTATTACCTTTTCCCAAATTCCCGAAATGTACGAAACATTCGTGGGGAAGAACTTTAGCTGATAAATCAGTAGCCACGCTCGGGCTCCGGCCAGGATAACAGTACCATTGTCATCTTTGCTCAAGGAAACACCTCCCAGTCCCGCACCAAGGTAGCCACTTCTGAAACCGTATCTTTGATGATGACCCGAAAATTCTTATTATCACAACTCACTTGCTTCCCATTCGGAAGGTTGGATAGGTAATGTTCATACCATGGTTGTAGAGTTCGGAAATAACCTGGATGTGGTTGTTTCCTGGACATCCTTTCTGCTTCCATTGGAGACAAAGGTCCCGGTAAACGTAGGTTTTATTACGGAATTTCACCTGAAAGGAATCAACAACTATATATTGCGTCTACCATGCAATTGCGGAGAGGTAGTTTGGACCACTGCTATAGCAGTGGAAGTAGATTGAGCCTTCTATTAGTGAGCACTTGGATTTCTTAGTGATAAGCGTGATGAAGTTGCGTGGTGGGTTTCCGATCGAAATAGAACTGCAGGGGGTTATGTCGAGTCTCTTTATAATTTTGTCAAAAAAGTATTGGTTCTTGCGAAAATTTTCCGCTAGGGGGCGAATGACTATGAGAATTGTTCCTTATGTACTTTCTCAGAGAAGATTATTCAGATCCTCATAATATTATTGCCGTCACTGACTGCTTTCATAGTCCGCCGACGTACCGGCGTGCCAGCCGAGGTAGTGCTAGGGGGGAGGAGGGAGGCAGACAGTCAGTCGACGCGGTCGGTCGCGCCCAAGCTCCTTCGAAGGGCTGAAAACAAAGAAAAACAAGACCAAAAACCA